GACGGCATACAACACAGCTCGGCTTAACATCAATAATCAGCATGATCATCATACAACATAGCTCAAATTTATATCATATAGCATAAACATCATACAACATAAACATCATACAACATAATCAAAATTATAAAGTCAAGCACCTTCGCGCCTGGCGCAATAGAATTTGCGCCTGGCCTGAACCAGCCAGAGAGCTCCAAAGCTCTTACGCGCCCGGTGCAATAGAAGGCAGAGACTCCCAGGAATCTCCCAAGCCCGGCGTACCAAATTCACGTTCGGCGCAAGTAAGGCAGAGACCTCACCAAGGTCTCACGCTCGACGCGCTCATTCTGCGCCCGACGCCACCCTAAGCAGAGACCCCTAGGGAGTCTCTACGCCCAGCACCAAGAACTACGCCCGACGCAATTTCAAACAACAACCCTCAAACTTTGAAAATTTCACCAAAAACCTGCAAAATCAACTAGCTCAAACACATGCAATCCATCCAATGAACCACATTTTCAGCATACAACCTAAAAATCAACTCTTTTTCAACATGCAACCATCAAACATATAGAAATCCCCATTTTTCACCATTTTCCCCGGAATCCCGAAAATGCAATCTCTTCAACTCTAGCCATCAATCTCCATAATACAAGTATTACATGAGCTTTTAAACCCATTAACAAGCAATCCACACGAAACCTAACTTCCCTTACCTCGGAGAAGAAGAATCCAAGCTCCGGGGAAGCGGAAAGGAAGAAGAAAAGGATTCAGCTCTCAGCTAGCTCCGCACGGCTTTGTGTTTGTAATAGATGGGCCACCTAGTGCTTTCCGACTCAGCCTTAGAGGAAAAGAAATCAATAAAAGGTTAAGAGGCTTGAGAGAATAAGGAAATGAGAGGAGAAGAGGAATGAGAAAAGAGAGAGAGTAGGGTTGCGGGTCTCACAGGTTCAACCAAAATTTTTTAAAAAATATTTTTCTTTATGTATTTCTTTATACAAAATAAAAATAAAGATATTTTTTAAAAAATTTTGGTTGAACCTGTGAGACCCGCAGCCCTACTCTCTCTCTTTTCTCATTCCTCTATTTATGTATTTCTTTATACAAAATAAAAATAAGGATATTTTTTTATGTATTTATTTAAAGTTATTCTTATTTAAAATTATGAATTTTAAATTAAATTATTTCTATTTTAAATAAAAAAATTTAATAAAATAATTAAATTTAAACATTATCTTTATTTTTAACATAAATTTAAAATATTATACATAAATTTAAAAATTAAAATTAATTATAATTTTTTAAAAAATCTGAAAATTTAAAAATAGAAAACAAAAAAAATTTAAGAAAATCTTAAAATCAAAAATCAAAAAACAAAAGAATAAAAAATAAAACCAAGTGAAAAATCGGTTACTGGGTAGCCGATTTCACAATAATTAGATTTTAAATTTTCTTTTAAAAATCCTATTGAGAAATAGGTTACCCAGACCCAGTAATCGATTTCTCACCTAGACAACAAAATAGGTTATTTACGTAAATAAAGATTGGCTCTGGTTATTTAAATAAATAATTAAAAAAATAATATATTTTTTTTAAAAAAAAGTCCCCTCTTGCAATTCTTTATTTATTACAAATTGTTTCATCCATCACCAAATGTTATGTCCTTTTGTAACTTATAATCCTCTCACGCAACAACTTTATTAATGTTAATATATTTAACAACTTTTTTCAAAACCTTAATAATAAGAAAATGATTATTGATTACTTTAATTATTTTGCAGTATGATTATTTATTATTAATATGAATTTTGAAAATGTATACTGTGTAATTGTTTTATAATTAAAAACATAGAAATATTTAAATTTTAAATTAACATAATTATTTACGAACTATATAAAGATGAAATCCGAAAATGGAATACAAAACCATAAATAAATTATAAATACTAAATAAATTAAAAATGAAAAATATATTACGTGATTGTTTTATAATAAAAAACAAAAAAATACTTGAAAATTAAATTAACAGAATTTTTTATGATGAATTTCTATAAAATGATATTAAATAAATATTTTATAAGTCCATAGGAGTTTTTTTTTTTGTTTTTTTTGTTTTTTACACTTATATAGAAGTTAAAAAGTGATAATATGAAGTTTAGAAATAAAAAAAATATAAAACCATAAATAAATTATAAATAGTAATTTAATCATGCATTATTGCAAACAATAATTAACAATTAATATCTTTATTGTTGGTGTCAAGAAAAAATATCTCTTTATGGTAGAGTTTCGAAAGCATCATGGGAAGATTTAATATTAATAAATCTTCATTGTAATTAATATAACAATTAAAAGTATAAAAAATGAGTTAATATGAATAAATGATATTGGTCGAGAGAGAGAAAAAATTACGTTAGAAGAGGACACATGATCTACAAATAGTCTTTTTAAATGTTAATTGAATATAATTAAGTAGTTATTTCATGAAATTAATTTTAAAGTAACCAATTTTAAGAAATGTTAGTAGTAAGTATTAATATAATATTAATTATTATTAGGGAAAAAAAAAAGACACTTTGTGTCTTAGTAATGTTGTGAGATGTGAAAATTATAAAGCAGATATGATGTAGTTTATTTTTTAAAAAATAATTTTTATTTAAATTAATAAAATAAAATTATTGAGTTATCTTTTACTAAAAAAGTAATTATATAATTATTTAATAAATAAAAGATAAAAATATCTAAAATTTGTGTACACAAAAATTATAATCGTCATTATATATTATTATAAATTATCATCTTTATTAGTGGAATAAAGATACGACGTGTCTTTATGTAACAGACACCATTGTCATTAAAAAGTGTGAGAAAAAAAATAAAAACTGAAAAAAAAAGTAAGAGAGAAAAGAAACAGAAAAAAATAGAAAGCATGATGTGCAATTACATAGACAATTATGTTGTTTTATTTTATATATTTCTTTTCTATTTTAACCTTTATCCAATGTATTGTTGGAAGGAAATTATATAATTGAATGGACAAAAATGTTAAAAAAAAATGGAGATGAAATAGATATATCATTTTTTTTCTTCTAATGTTACATTTATAGTATAGACTACATATTTTTTTTAAAAATAAAAATAAATAAAGTTATTAAAAGATAATAGTAGTGATTTTATTTAGTGGAATCTCAATTGTAATTTTTTTTAGAGAATAAAATGTGTAATTACTAAAATAGAATCCCTAGTTAGAATGTTATAATGACATGTTATAATGACAAATAAGGATAAAAATAAAAATATTTTAAATAAATATAGATAAAATAAAATTAAAGAGTAAATGAGTGTTAAAAAAATTAGAAACCAAAAAATGATATTCTTTTTACAAACATTTAAATATATTAAAAAAATATATAACAATTGAATACTAAGTACCAAGATGATTATGATTCTTTTGTTTTGAAACCATATTTAAATATAGTTCCAAAACAAAGGAACATATTATGCATCACAAGTGTAATTTGAAGACAATTTGGACAACAAAATTTTAATTTAAGCCTTTAATTATTCGCAAATTCTCACTTTGAAAAGTATAAAAATCTATGTGAGACACACTAATTTATTACTGATTCTCATACTCTTCTCTCCCAAACATCGACCTTTTTTAATTCATCACTCATCGTTCTCCCTCCTTTTTATTCTTTGCTAATTCATGCCTTCCAAATACATTATTAGAAAGTTTTTTTTCGAAGTTTTCTTTTCTTTTCCTTTTTTTTATATATAAACTAGACTTATCTTACAACAAAATTAATTCTATTTAAATTAAATAATATTATTACGGAGGTAAAACTTTCTCTTCCAATATTTAATATAGTTACTTTCGTACTAGTTAATCCATTACTCTCATAGCAGTTGATCATACATTTATTATTGGAAGAGGTTGATTAACCATGTAGATATTCAAAATGAGTGATGTGAATAAGTGTATAATTGGTTTAACTCGAGGAACTCTTTTGTATCTCAAGAAATTTAAAAAGCAAAATCTTCTCTTTCTTGTTCGGAACGGAACGAGGAAAAAATAAAAGTAAAAGGAAACCCGTGTGGGGTAATTGACTATATGGGAAAAAAAAAACCCATTGATTCAACAGTAGGAATATTCCATTTGATACCCAATGATTCCATTTTCATATTAATACAATTGTGGAAAAATGATGAATTTGAATCACTAAGCAACATACATATAGTAATTTTATTAATCACTAAAGTCAGTTCATGATTGACGGTTGAGATAGATATATAAAAAATTAACTTCATTTTTCATCGTGATTGTGTAATAATAATTTCATAGGTTTTACGTTGAAATTTATTCTAAACATTATTTTTTACTACAATATTATAGGCATTTTTAAGTATTATAATTATCTCAATTTTATATTTTAATCTTCATAAATTAAAATACTTTATTTTAATCTCTATACATATTATTCTTGGTCTATTTAAATTTGTGTTGTCTATTATTCTGGGATAAAATTTATGAAATTATTAAAAATTAAAATGATATGTACAGTCATTAAAATAATTTTTAGTAATAAGAATTAAAAATAAAATTAACGAAAATAAAGATTTTAAAATAAAATATTATTGATTAGTGGACATATACATATGTTTTAAACTTATGAAAGGAAATTCTGTATTTGTCTGCCGCCATCGAATCGAACAACATACACATAATTCGCCGTTAACGTTTCCAACTTTTCTTCAGTTCTGGTACGAGAACAGCGTGAATCTCTAAAATGTGTGCATATATATATATATATATAAGACATCATCACTAACAACATAACATAATACACTTTTCCTTTCTCTACAGCACCGCGTTCCCCAGCTTTCTCTCTCCTCTTGTTTCCACCTCCCTCTCCCTCGCCATACTCTCCCGCATGCCCATTTTCTAAACACGCTTTCCAAGAGGGTCAGTTTCTTTTTCATTCTAATTTTGTTTCGATTCAGAGCCTTTTTCTCTGGTGGGGTTTATGGGAGGGTAAAGGGGAAAATGGAAGTACAATGTGGGTTTCATGTTGTTTTCTTTCATTTTTCTTTTTTTGACAATTGGTTTGTTTATGGATCTTCTGGACTCCGTTTCTATGCTTTGATCCGAGATGATGGATGTAAAGATTTAATTTTGGCTTCTGTTGCGTGCTGATGGGATTACGTGATGTTGATTGTTCTTTAAGTTTTATGGGTTATTTCATCTTGCTTGAAATTGGATAAATCCGAGTTCAAGGTCAATTTTTTATTCGTTGATTACTCTATATGTTTTTTTATTTGCCCTTTTGCTTCTTATGTTCTAACTTGTTTTGAAAAGTCTTCTTCAATAATTTCATAAATTATGTCTTCTTGTCACATCTGGGCTCGGAGCCTTCATTTGTTAATTATCAATTATTGTTTCTGACACACAGTGTCGAGAATCCTTTGGACTGCAAACATTATTTTAATTTTTCCATCTTCTTTCTTTTAGTTTTTTAGTTCACTTACCGTGCATTATTGTATGGTTGATTTTTTTGTGTATTATCATACATTGTGCTGTTTCAATTCTGTTGGAATTGCAAGGTTAAGAGGGTTTTGGTGATGTATTTCAGGTAAGTTAGGGCACTGGTCCTGTGCCGTGCTGCCTTACCTGCATTTTTTCCATAAATGGGCTGTTTCAACTCTAAGTCAGCTAGACCACGACAGTTTCCTGCACAGGAGAATACTGTAACTCTTGCATCAGAGACAGCTTGTAAGTTGATTAATTTTTCCAATGAAATAATGCAAAGCTGTAATTCTGTACCAAGATATGTGGCCGTTTTATTGAATTCTATTTCTAGATTTACTTTTATCTGAGGAGTTGCTTATTATGAATTTGCTCTTCGTCTTGTGTTGTTGCTGGATGAATCTTATAAGTATAATATTAATGTGTGGCATGCTTCCTGTGCCTGTGATGTTTTTGAAAAGGGAAAGATTGCAAATTTGAACAAACAAATCTAAGTTCAGTTTGTTGTTAAAAGTAGGCAAAGGTAGACCTTTAAAATGGAACATCCCCTTGGTCCTACCCGTTCCTATTCTATCTTAGTGTGGGCTACATGAAGGGAAATGGTTTTGATTGTGCTTTTTTCATATTGCTGTATCTATGGGTATCTAAATGTAAGGTAATAATATAAATTGTATTTCTTCTGTATTTTGTGAAGTAAACCAAACTGAAGAATATGTTGTTTAGTCAACTTGCAAAATTGAAGAGATTAAAGAATAACCTCACATCTATCCTGTCAAAATCTTCGATTAGTTTCCATTCTGTCACCACCTTAAGCAGACAAAGGCCTCTTTTTTTTCCCATTTTCTTGCGAAACTTTTCTCCTTTTCGGAACACACAATTTTAGAGCTATACATTCAGAAAACTCTGCAAATTTAAGAAACAAAATTTAGACTTGTCAGTTCAGATGTGCCATTGTCTCACTTAAAATGGATGTGATGGTTGTGCTCGTGTATTGCCACCTGCAAATATTTAGAAGAATGTTCCCTTCTAGTGATGCATTTCTTATGAAACTTCTCTATCTCTGTTTCTCAAGCACTTATGTTAGTTTTGTAGTTTAAACATGTGTATCAATTTTTGGTGTTCCATTTCCCAGTCACTGTCAGCGAGGTTGAAGCATTGTTTGAGCTTTTTAGGAGCATCAGCAGTTCTGTTATTGACGATGGACTAATAAGCAAGGTAATACATAGCAAATTCCTTTTTAATTTTTCTCATTAGTTGTTATATGATGATTGTGACTTTTTATTGCTTCTATCTCTACTCATTCTCTGTGAGGAACTTAGGCTATGTTTGGAAACCAGTTTGCAACATTGTAAACAGAAAAAACACATTCCAAAGCATCAAACTAGGAAGCAACTTTTGTATCTTTTCCATTGAATGTGATTTTGTAGGTTTCTAACGAGAAACCATGAGCACACTTAATTATATTGTGACATCTATCTTGCAATTGGTATTTAGTCATGAGAAATTGGGTTATCTATTTGCATATGTAATTTTGTCAAGAACTTAATCCATATCTTCGGTTTCAAAATTTTCATTTAATCATGTGTAATATAAAGATAATTGGTTGTTATGTTCTCAAGGATGCTTCTAGACATGAATGATCTGCAGTATAATACCTCTTTTAAGTTTTTCTTTCACGTATTTTATTTTAGATTTTGTTTTGGTTTGTTAAAGGATTTTTAATATATTATTGTCCTAATTCAACTTGTTCTTTACATGGAATTCTATGTCCTTATTGTGGTTATGGGTTATCTTTCTTAACAGGAAGAATTTCAATTGGCAATCTTCAAAAACAAGAGAAAGGAGAACATCTTTGCAAATCGGGTACTATATACATCTTTGCTTTCTTGATAGTAATATCTATACCATAATTGTTTATGATTCTTGCAAGCAATTGTGAATGACTATAGACTGGCTGAAATGTACACTTTAGATCAACAATTTGCAGTGCAAGTATGCTATTGAAGATATTTGCTCTTTCACTATGTTCATCTGGAAGAAACTCAATTTATTAATCCTTTCTGCAAAAACCTGTAACATTTATTGTGAACCATTTGCTTTCATCCAGTTTTTGTCAAATTTATATGTACAGATTATTTTTCTCAACTCCAGGGTTCCTTCAAAAATGGAAATTGATGTTTGATTAGCTTTGCAACTTATGAATATCTTCAATGACATTTTATGTAATTCTCGTGGGTTGTGGCATCTCTATGAAGTAATCTTTCAATTGACTATATATATATCCATTGATATGCTACGTGCAGATCTTTGATCTATTTGATGTCAAGAAGAAGGGGGTTATTGATTTTGATGACTTCGTTAGATCTCTCAATGTTTTCCACCCAAATGCATCATTAGAAGACAAGATAGCTTGTAAGTTAAACGTCAAATCCTAAACTCATGGTTTATCCTAATTTCCTTGCAGTGATCTAGCTGTTCTGATACATTAGGTTTGGTATCTTCTTTCAGTTTCATTTAGGGTCTATGATTTGCACAATACTGGCTTTATAGAGCGTCCAGAGGTAAGATGGTGATACTTTATTCATATACCTTCCATGCAAGTAATATGCTCATTGCTACGAAACAAAATAAGTGCTAACCTACACATGCATAGATCTTTGTTGCGATGTGATGATTTTCATTTTGGTTTGGTGCATTTTGTCGTGGCATCTATCTTCAGTGTCTGTGCACTCCCATCCTATTAATTTTACTGGACATGTTCAATTATTTATTTATTTTTTGGTGATTTCCGACAGGTCAAGCAAATGTTAATTGCACTTCTTTTTGAGTCGGAAATGAAGTTGGCAGATGAGGTCATTGAAACAATTCTTGACAAGGTGAGTTATGCTTAAAGAAATCAAACCTAAACAATATAAAAATAATAGATGATTTGTCTGCATTATGAAACAATTATAGTTTATTGTTGCCATGTTGTATTATCCTATAACCTACTGTTTTTTTCTTTGGCATCAAATTATCACAAATTAAAATAAACTATAAAAGGCTTAAGCCTTACATCGTATTATTCTTTTTTGGCCAGACATTCTCGGAAGCTGACCTTAACCAAGATGGAAGAATAGACATTGACGAGTGGAAAAATTTTGTTTCTAAGAATCCGTCGTTATTAAAAATCATGACCCTACCTTATCTGAGGTATGTGTAGTTTTTTTTTTAAATGGTAAATATGAATATGAATTTACTTTTATCAATAATTTGCTATTATGTAATAATTTGTTATTGTTGAATATGCAGGGACATAACAACATCTTTTCCAAGTTTTGTTTTTAATTCTAACGTGGACGAAATTGCTGCATAAATTACAAGGCTTTAGGTTGTGATTGGTGGAGGGAAAATTGAAAGTATTAGACACAGAGGATGTAATAGGCGCCATGCTTGAGTAGTTAGCCTTACTCAGTAAATTGTAAATCACATTGGCATTGAAATCTTCTAGCCACATTTCAAGTTAGTGCCTGTTTGAAAACCCCTATTTTTTTATTTTTTTTTATAGGGATTTTGTTTTTTTGAACAGAGACAAAATTGAATAGTTACAATGAAAAGGTAACAATTTTTAAACCGTTTTACATGAAATAGAAAGAATAGGAATTCACAAGGTGTGGAAGATATGCGATTCAAAGAAGGGGTTCGAATACCTCACCTCATCCTATAACGATCCCAAAGGTTATCACATTTATTATTGAAAAATCAACATTAAAGTGTAAGCAAAATCATACATAAAATAGAATGTGTGAAATATATCAATCTAGTACATATGTAATGTACATCACTACTAGACAATTACGATCTTTACTCTATAAAGTTAGTTGAAGACTCCCAAAATAAGACTATCTTAAGAGTCATACAAAACAATTATCATCTTGTTAACTAATTGTTTAATCTTAACCTTTCATACATCAAGTATGGTTATCCCAATTATAATCAAAAGGAAAAGAAGGGTAAGTTTACAAAAGAAACAACATATAACAATACAACCAAAGCAACAAAAGTATCGATTGACAATAAGATAATTCATAGCATATAACATGTTTAACATTTATCAACTTGTTCATAATCAACATCTAAACATACATATTTTAGCAACTAATGCATAGTCACACATGTTAATTAAGGAGATCTCCTACAACATAGTTAAATAGTTTAAGTGACTTGTCCTTATTAAATCATAATATTAGACTTATCTCAGCCTGGTTAGGTATAGTACAACATTTGACCTCATAAAAGAGTCAGGTATAAACAACTTAGTTTGATTTCTTAGGCTTTGTTACTTAAATAAAGAAGTATGATACTATGCCGAGATAGAACAATTTGAATATGGGTCCACCATGATGTGAGACCCCCTTTCGAGATAGAACAATTTGAATATGGGTCCACCATGATGTGAGCCCCCCTTTTCTTTTCCTTTTCCCTCCCCGACACTCTCCTCTCACTCACGCTTATTCCCACTCTTTCATTCTCTCTTTGCATCCTTCATTGATTTCTACTTGCTGTCTCAAGGTGCTGATTCTTGAAGGTTTGGTTTTGCTGTGGTTGCGGACATTCTTCTCTTCTCTTCCCCGTTCATGCTCATTTCATCTTCTTCTCGTTTTTCTCTTCCTAGGGCTCGGATTCTTCGTACCGAGGTAAGGGAAGTTAATTTTGGTTGTGTTTTGTTGAAGACGAGTTCACGAACTCATTTGGTGGCTGACTACTTGAATGATTTGGGGCTGTGTGTGATGAATTTTCGTTTTTGGGGTTCTTTAGGGGTTTTGAGAAAATTTTGGATTTCCTTTGATTTGTGGTTGCATGTGTAAAAAGGTGGTGTTTTTGAGTTGTGGGTTGAAAATGTGTTACTTTGAATGGATTGCATGTGCTAGAAAAGTGGATTTTTGCAGGTTTTGGTCAAAATTTTTGAACTTGGGAAATTTGCTGCT